ACCCTGTCACACACAGAGCAGGGCCCATGGGGTGGGGGGGTTGGGGCGCCGCACCCTGTCACACACAGAGCCGCAGGGTGATCAGGGGGTTGGGGAGCTCCCCCCTATCAGGCACAGAGCAGGGCTGATCAGGGTGTTGGGGCGCCTTCCCCTGTCACGAACTGAGCAGGGCGGATAGGGAGGTTGTGGCCCCGCCCCCTGTCACACACAGAGCTGCAGGGCGATCAGGGGGTTTGGATGCTGCCCCCTGTCATGCTGATCCCAGTGCTGGGAGGCATATTACCCTTTTACTATATAGGATAGAGGCCTGGTGCATGGGTGGGGGCCGGCTGGTTTGCCCTGAAGGGTGTCCTGGATCAGGGTGGGGGTCCCCACTGGGGTGCCTGGCCAGCCTGGGTGAGGGGATGATGGCTGTTTGCAGCTGGTCACACACCCTTCAGGGTGGGGGTCCCCACTGGGGTGCTTGGCCAGTCTGGGTGAGGGGCTGAGGGCTGTTTTCAGGCTGGCGGGTGACGGAAGCTCCCAACCGCTCCTTTTTTTATTTTTTTTATTTTTATTCTGGGCCAGCTTTAGCTCTGAGGCTCCAGCTCTTAGGCCTCCGCTGCTGAAAGAAGGTATCTGGTTTGTTTTGGTTCTATAATCGAAACTCTGTATCAACTCCAGCTCTGAGATCCCGGGCTCGCTGAAAGCAGGTTTCTGGGGTTTTGTTTAGCTTCTATATTTGTTACAATGTTTCAAACTGCAGGCTCAGAGGCCGGCAAGGCAGGCGGGGAACGTTGGAGTCCTCCGTCACTGAAGCAAGCAAGCCTCATGTTCAGTTTAAGCTGCCTGGCTGCCGGCCGCCATCTTGGCTGGCAGTTAATTTGCATATTGCCCTGATTATCCAATGGGAAGGGTAGCGGTCGTACGCTAATTACCATGTTTCTCTTTTATTAGATAGGATTAAATGTAAACAAACTCAATATAACTTAAACAGAAGGGTTGCAAACTTACAGCAAATGCCATATTAAGAGTAAAACATGTCCTGGCTGGTTTAGGTCAATGGTTAGAGCGTCAGCCTATGGACGGAAGAGTTGTGGGTTCAATTCCCAATTAAGGACATGTACCTTGGTTGCAGGTTTTCCAACCCTGTTAGGGTCGAGTGTGGGAGGCAACTAATCGATGTGACTCTCTCACATCCATGTTTCTCACTCTCCCCTCTTCCTCCCTTCCCTCCACTGTCACTAACAAAAAAAAAAAAATCAATGGAAAAAGCATCCTCAGGTGAGAAAAAAAAAAGAGTAAAACATTGGTTGCTTGAACCTGAGTCTTGGCTTCTTGCCTTCCTCCCTGAACAACATGAGCTCTAGCTTTCCGACAAACCACGGGACCCTGGGCTCCATGTAATCCCCCAGCTACCAACCAGCTCGACCAGCCAACAGCATGGCCAGCATTTATGTAGGGGCTCAGGCTCCCGGACCTCTGTGTCCCACTCTACCAGTATGTAGGGTAGCTGAGGGTCCAGGGGCTTGGCTGCAGTGATAGCCAGAGGTCTAGCAGCCGTAGGGGGATATCTAGAGTGAGAAGGAGACTATGCCATGCCTAAGTAACCTGGCCTCCTACCTGGAGAGGGAGAGAAATCTGGAGGCTGATAATCAGCCTTCACTAGGTGTTCCTGGAGAGCAAAATCCAGGAACACCTAGGGAAGAAGCCACCCCAAGCCAGGGGCTGGGGGCATTATTTCAAAATCATTGAGAACCCGAGGGCTCAGATCTTCACAACTTCTGTGGAAAATGCCCCCACCATTCTACAGATTGACAGTGCCTGTCTTGCTGCTGCTGACTTCAGAGTCAAGTATGAGACAGAGCTGGCCATGCGCCAGTCTGTGGAGAGTGACATCAGTGGTCTCTGAAAGGTCACTGGAGACAGAGGGGGGCTCTCGAGGAGCTGCTCTTCAAGAAGAACCACAAGGAGGAAATAAATGGTCTACAGAATCAGACTGCCAACTCTGGGTTGACCATGGAGTTGGATGGCCCCAAATCTCAGGACCTCAGAAGATCCTGGTGGACACCCAGGCCCAGTATGAAGAGCTGGCTCGGAAGAACCTAGAGGAGCTAGACAAGTACTGATCCTAGCAGATTGAGGAGAGCACCACAGTGGTCACCTTGCAGACTGCTGAGATAGGAGCTGCTGGGATGATGCAGAGCTGAGACGTACGTCCAGTCCTTGGAGCTCGACCTGGACTGGATGAGGAATCTGAAGGCCAGCTGGGAGAACAGCCTGAGGGAGGTGGAGATGCACTATGTCATGAAGACAGAACAGCTCAACCAGATCCTGCTGCCCCTGGAGGCAGAGCTGGCCCAGATCTGGGCAGAGGAGCAATGCCAGGCTCAGGAGTATGAGGCCCTGCTGAACATCAAGGTAAAACTGGAGTCTGAGATCACCACCTGCCCCACCTGCTGCAAGAAGGGGAGGACTTCCATCTTGGTGATGCCCAGGACAACAGCCCCTCCATACAATCCATCCAAAAGACCATCACCCACAGGATTGTGGACGGAAAAGTGGTGTCTGAGGTCAATGACACCAAACTTACGGGCAGCAGAAGTGGGGCACACCTTGGGGTGGGGGGGCAGAAGGCCAATAAAAAGTTCAGAGATCAGTCCTGGCTGGTGTGGCTCAGTGGGTTGGGCATTGTCCTGTGCACTGAAGGGTTGCTGGTTTGATTCCTGGTCAGGGCACATGCCCAGGTTGCAGGCTCAATCCCCAGTGTGGGGCGTGCAGGAGGCAGCCGATCAATGATTCCCTCTCATCATTGATGTTTTTATCGCTCCCTGTTCCGTCCTCTTTGAAATCAATCTAAATAAATAAATAAATAAATAAATAAGGAAAAAAATATGGCTTAATATGAGATCTCTAATTGGGTCTACGGAGCAGACTGACCTACATATTAAAAGTATGTTAAACGACAGCAACAACAAAAACACTGTGGCTGAGGCACTGACCAATTAGAATGAATGATGGTCACAAGCAATGTGGCCCCAAATCAGCCCTGTACATTAGGTACTTGAGGGAACACTGGGAATAACTCAATTTGAGTTTATCTGTGTGTGGTTAAGTGGATTTAAGGTTTATCAAATGATTCTGGTGAGTAACCACAAGTTGGAGATAATATAATAAAGTGAACAAGTGGAAATGATAGAGCCCTTTCCTTAACCTCCCACTAATCTGTCCATTCAAGATAATAAAGATACCATTTTAACCATCATAATGTGATTGCAAAAAAACCCACCCTGATATCTATAAAAACACTCATTTTTCCCCACATACTTCATAGTTGGGCATATTCTAACTTTAAACAGGATTTTTTCCATGGGTTTAATTTGTTAAAGATACAAAAAAATAAAAGAAAGGTACAGCACCTTTCTATTAATACTTAATAAGAACTAACTGACATCAGGGAAGATTATTAGCAGATGAGATTAATGAGTATTATTTAGTAGATTTTGCATTTATATATTCCTTCACTTGAAACCCTATATCTCCTTACTACCCTAATGAACAGATATGCTTGTTACAACCCACAAAAGGAAATATCATATACAACTCTCTGTAAGATGAAATAATATCCAATAGACACAGTGAATTGATAAAAAAAATTACTAGAGGTTAAGAATGAACTGAGCAGAAGTTGCTTTCCTAAATAAAATTCAAAATTGAGAACTGCTATATATTGTATTGATTTCATCTCTATGATATTCTGGAAAAGGAGGGAGAACAGATCTATAGTTGTTTTGGGGGTGGTGGGAGGGGGAGGCACATGGCAGAGACTGAAAGAAACCACACAGGGTAGTTTGAGCAAACATTCCCAACTGGGATGCCATAGGAGGTAGTCATGTCCCAGGCCTACAGCGTCCTTAGCAAAGATCAGTCTTTGCCTTAGGCAAGTCCTGTCCACTGTTCTTGTGTATCTAGGATAACATACCTTTAAATGTCAGAGTAATTTTCTTTTCTTAAAGCCACAACTGCAGGCACCAGAACCCCTCATTGATACCATGTTTCCTGCATTCCATCTCTATCTACTGTAAACGTTCATTATTAAGTATCCTGTACCCACCAATGTCAAAGCAGTGTGTGTTTCTCCATTTTTGCTTTTTATCTATTCTAGTGATTTCCTCACTTTGCTTTCTCCTGCCTCCTTAATCTACCACCAATGGATTTCAGGTACCTTCCTTATGTTCTCATCTTTGATTCTAAATTCATAGAAGAAACTCAAAACTGCTATTCTCCCCTGGTCAGTGTGGCCCAGTTGGTTGAACTTGTCCCATGCCCCAAAAGGTCTCTGGTTCGATTCCCCATCAGGGTTGCAGGCTCGATCCCCAGTAGTGGACATGCAGAAGGCAGCCAATTGATGTTTCACATCAGTGTTTCACATCAGTGTTTCTCTTTCCCTCTCCCTTCCTCTTTTTCTAAAATCAATAAAAACTTTTTTTTTTTTAACTGTCATTCTCAAGAGTATTTTCCCAATCCATTGAGATCTTGCTTCTGGGCATGTCCTCAAAAACTTGGCTCAAATAAACTCTTATAAAACTTTTCTATAGGTTTGGGTATCTTTTCCTTCACAGGGGCTTATAGTACAAAAGGGCAAGAAGAAACATTTTTGGGCAAGAGAACTATTCCAAGAATTCTCTAGTACACTAAAGAAAGGTGAATTTTACTGAATGTAAATTATATCTCAATAAACCTGACTTTAAAAAATAGATTGAGAAAAAGTGACTTCATCCCCCAAATGGACAAAGATCATTATATATGTGGTTGCTCATGTACGTCAGATATGAAGTTTATAAAATGAGAATCACAGTGAGCAATAAAGGAATATAGAAATTAATAATAATAACCTCTGTGGTTGGAAAGACTAAAGACAGCCAAGATGACATTGGGCCAGCAGGGCCAGAGCGCAGAGCGAGACTGCGTTGGAGCGTCAGGCTGCAAGCCCTCCAGGGCTCAAGCCTGCCTCCCCTGCGATGGGGCCTTGGGTGGGCTCAGTCTCTGGAGCTGGCTGCGGGGAACTCGAGTCCCGGAGTCCGGAGACCAAGGAGAGAGTGAGTGTGCCGCCCCTTGCCTCCTGGCCCCGGGCCCCCAGTCCTTTCTCCTGACCCTTCCTCCACCACCCCCACTAACTCTCGGGCCTACCACCTCCCTTTTTTTAAAAAAAAAAAAATATATATTTTATTGATTTTTTACAGAGAAGGGAGAGAGATAGAGAGTTAGAAACATCAATGAGAGAGAAACATCGATCAGCTGCCTCCTGCACACCTCCCACTGGGGATGTGCCCACAACCCAGGTACATGCCCTTGACTGGAATCGAACCTGGGACCCTTCAGTCCGCAGGCTGACGCTCTATCCACTGAGCCAAACCGGTTTCGGCATACCACCTGCCTTTTAACCCACCTTTTTATCGCAGTGCACCTCTTCTACACCCTCTTCTTTCAGCCACCATTTCCCCATCCAGGCAATGCCCCCATCCTCCCCCTACCCCAACCTCCAACCACCACCACTCTAGCCAGGTACTGGAAGGACTTGCAGCTGAGAGCAGTAGGGAATGATCAGAGGTAGAGCCTGGGCTGAGTGGGAGCCCTAGGCCTGGCCCTAACCCTAACCCTAACCCCAGGACTGGGGCAGAGCAGAGTCTGGGCTTAGAGCTTTGCGGGGAGCAAAGGCTGGCTAGGCCTGGATGGGTGGAGTCGGGTGGTGGTGTGCACACACCAGTTTCAGTATTTCTTCTCTCTCCCCATCTCACCCCACCCTTTGCCCTTGGGTCAGACCTACTAGAGGCAGGTGCTAAAGAAATCCGCAGACCTCCAGCCCAAGGCCAGGTGGGTCCCCAAGCACATCTGGACAGCTCTGCAGAATGTCCTTGAGGAAGTAGCCCTGAGGTAGAGTGCTCTGTGCTTCCCCCTTGGAGACGCCAGACAACAGCTTTCTCAAAAAATAATTATGCTGGTCTCTAGAGAAGTAATCCATCTCCTCCAATCCATCCTGCCTGCCGTGTCTATCATAGAACTGATCATTACAGCACTGATCATCTTACTGCTGTTTGAGAATTTCCAGTGACTCCCCCACTCTCCCCTTTACTCACAGGATACATTCACACTTCTTGGAGCTGACATTCAAGACTGTCCAGTATTTTGGCTCTCCCTTCCTAACCAAGCTTGGTTCCCTCTGACACACTATACTACTCTAGCCAGACCTTTCCCTTCCTCCTGCTGTCAGAACTGCCAGGATGACTTCTGCCTGCCAGCATGCAGTTATCAATCTGGAATGCCTCCCCTCTCCTTTCTACCTTCCAAATCCTGCCCATGCAATACTTCACTGATGTCCTACCTACTTTGTGAAGCTTTCTCCAATCCTTGAGCACCACCTTCCCCAAATCTCTGTAGGACTGACTGCCTGTGCCACTCAGTTTGTCTATAAATCATGGAAAACATTTTATTTGCTCATGGTTTACCACCCCAGTTAAATGCATCTAGGGACAGATCTCAGCCTACATTTATGCTTCAATAACTAGTACAGCTCTGGATTTGCATTAGATGCTCAGCTAATGCCTAAATGTATTTATTCAACAAATATTTTAGATGGTTTATTTGTCTTAGTACCTGGCACAGTGCCCAACAATACAATAGTAAAAAAGAGTCTCACCTTCATGGTGCTTCCAGTTTAGTGGGGGAGATTAAATACCTAAATTGAAATTGAATGAATGATGGAAGGAAGAAAAGGGAGGGAGGAAGGATTTATAAGATTTAGTGGCTCCACATCTTCTAGTCTTTAGAGGGGAAAAAAATACGTGTGTATGTACTTTCTGTTTCCCAGGTATTATGGCTGTGTTCTGGTCATCCATCAAAACTGATGGATTTTGGACCTGGCTAGTGAAAGTGGCAGAGATTTGCTATGTGCTTAAATGATTTATGAGAAAGGGCATGTTACTGGAATTGACATGAGAGAAGATCAGACGAGACAATGATTTGGAGGAAAAAATTATCAAAAGCATTCTTTTGAGATAAAGTTTTTTTCTATGTGACTCTTCAAGGTTTTAATAAGGCAGCTAAATGACAATGCTTATTTGTGCCACTCATGCTTTCTGTCCTGGGAGCTGAGGACTTTGGCCATTAGGGGCTCTTCTGGAAGAACAGATTTTCTTTTTTTTAAAAAAACATTTTTATTGATTTTAGAGAAGAAGGGAGAGAGAGAAACATCAATGATGAGAGAGAATCATTGATCAGCTGCCCCCTGCACACCCCACACTGGGGATTGAGCTGCAACCCAGGCATATGCTTTGACCGGGAATTGAACCACGATCACCTAGTTCATGGGTCGACGCCTTACCACTGAGCCACACTGGCCGGGTGAGAGTCAGAGGTTTGATCTAGTATATGAATATCATGATGACCCAGTGGAGTCTGGTCTTTTCTTCTGCCATCTGTCCTGCAAGATTTTGTTAATGAATGAAGAGCTTATTCAAGCAAAAACCAGGTATTGAGCTCCATTGAGTTGTCCCAGGCTGGAGCACATCCTACGTGCCCAGAGAAGCCTTGTATCCTTATCCAAAATAGTCAGGGGGAAGTATATTCCATTAGTAAAAGGAAATTTTGAGGGGGGAGGGGGAAACCAGTGTATTTAAAAAATGCTAATTATCAAACCTATATTTTTCTTTTCTTAGGTAGAAGTGGCGAAAAAGTATATTGAATATCACTTGGAAAAATATGGCTTCCAGGCACCCAAGGTGACTTTTGTTCATGGCTGCATAGAGAAGTGGGGAGAGGCTGGGACCAGAAATGGGAGTTATGATGTTATGATGTAGGCCTCTCCTTACTGTTATGAATGTAGCCCATTTTCTATCGAACACACAAATGTCACCATTTGTGACAGTTTTTGCTGAACTGACTCTCACGTGGGGCGATAAACTAAACCTGGCATGCCTTAATGTAGAGGAAGAGCTGGTCTGGTCCAGAACACACTAGCCCAAGAGAGAACTTACTTTCACTTAACCATCAACCAACGAGCCCAAGAGACCAGCAAGACCACTGAGTCTGCCCAGACAATGCACACTGACCTGTTATCCTTAATATTATTTTCATAGCAAATTACAGAATTCTGTGCTTCTCTTTTTTTCTGTCAAGTCATGCCCAAGTGACAATCTTAGTAAACTGCCTGAAGGAACTTCGTCTGTTTACAGGTGGGATAAGAAATGGAGACATCTGGCCCCAGGTTATTTTTTGCCTGGTAAACATCAGGACAGAAACAAATAGGAAAATGCCTGAAATTTTTTTCCTGCACTCACTGTTTGCTGAAAGTTTACTGATATTTTAAACACTCTGTTCACCTCTCTTATCTTGGGAAAATAGTTGAGCTTGGGGAAGAGAGGAGGAAAGATTATTGTAGGATCCAGACCTCCATACTGTTGAAATTAGCTAAATAAAATCTCAAAATGACTGCTAACTCATGTGCCTGAGATTTAAGCACAATATTGAGAAAAACATTTTGTTATAAAGGTACATGCTAGCATTACAAAAAGTTGTATACTTTTTAAAGGAAAAGAGTTTATGAATACTATTGACTTCTTCTGATAGTTATACAACCTTGAGTTGCATTTGTTTCAATTTGGCTCAAAATCTAGGTGACCCGAGTATCCTTATTCAGGAGAGGGACACTCTTGCCCTCCCTGTCAGGTAGGGGACTGAAAAAGAAATCTTGGCACTTCGCTAAAAAATATTTATACTTTTCCTCCCACCTTCTAAGTCAGTGGTTCTCAACCTTCTGGCCCTTTAAATACAGTTCCCCATGATGTGACCCAACCATAAAATTATTTTCGTTGCTACTTCATAACTGTAATGTTGCTACAGTTATGAATCATAATGTAAATATCTGATATGCAGGATGGTCTTAGGCGACCCCAGTGAAAGGGTCGTTCGACCGCCAAAGGAGTCGCAACCCACAGGTTGAAAACCACTGTTCTAACTTCTTCCAGGCTGGGTTAATCATCAAATTAACAGAGACAGATTAACAGGAGAACATCAGGTTTTTAATACCTGCGAATGGAGGATTCACATAGGCATGTGAAGGGAACCAGTTTAGCCATTCAGAAGCTGCTTCTGGGATATTGATTTTTAAGGTGTTTAATAAGAAACAAGACTCAGAAAGAACCTTCGACCTCCCTGCTTTCCTGCCAAAGAAAAGATTCAGACAGAGAAACCTGTTTCAGGAAGGAAAACTTAGAATGCCACTTTAGCCTAATTTGAATTAAGTGTTGTAAACAAGGCTTCAGGCAGGTGCAGGTGCCTGTTAGCTAGATACCCACTGTGTTCCATTGTTTTTGAGTTGTCTAGCAAGAATTTTCCTGTCATGTCTGCTCCTGGTAGGTTTCTCTGTCTGAATCTCTTGGGCAGGAAAGCGGGGAGGTCAAAGTGTCCTTCTGAGTCTTGTTTCTTAATAAACAGCTTAAAATCAATATCCCAAAAAGACAGCTTCAGGATGGCAAAACTTTGATCCTTTCGTTCACACGGGGTCAGTTCAAGCACTTCCATCCCCCCACCCCCTGCATTTGTTTTTAAAATGGATGTTATCCCTTCATTCCTTTCTTTGCTATCTGGGATTAATGTAATCTTAACCTTGTTTGGACGAATTCTGCTGTTTCAGCATGATGGGAAGCTATATTTCAGTGACGTCTCTGCTAGCCTTGAATTGCCAGAAGAAAGCAGGACACAGTTTTCTGGGGTAGGTGTCTTTTTGTTTTGTTATGTTTTGTTTTAAGGCAGATACGTGTTCATATTCAGAGCTCCGTTCTGCTCACCGCCAGGGTGAGGCTTTGTGATGTGGGAACATGTGGGTTAGGTCAGGAGGTTTAGGTTCCATTTCTCTTCTGCCTCTCAAAAGTGGCATGACCTTGGAAAATTAATGTCCTTGAGTCGTCTTCTAAACTGTAAGATGTAGATAATTTACAATCTGCTGATAGGGCTTTTATGAAAATTAAACGGGATAATTAAATGGGAAACACTTTGAAAACTGTAGTGTGGAAATGAGGGCTACTGTCCCAGCACCGATGCCCCTTAATCCCCTTATGTTCTCATCATTGTGGTTTCTTCCTTTACTGTCATATGTGTGTGGTCCGTCTGACTATGAAATCAAAAGTTCTTACTTTAATAATGTGAACATTTTTCTTATTATAACATAATAAGTGAATATTGTTAAAATGTTGGAAAAATACAAAAAGTAAAAGACCATATTACTACTAATCATATAGCCAGCAATAACCTCTTTACCATTTTAATATATATCCTTTTACGTGTTTTTTTCTATGTGTACTTAATAAGATTGGGAGCATGCTATGTATAGAACTTAGTATTCTAATTTTATTTAGCATATTTCCTAAACCTAAACATTTTTTAAAGTTTTATTTATTAAACTGGGGTTGCGGGCTTGATCCCCAGTGTGGAGCGTGCAGGAGGCAGCTGATCAATGATTTTCTCTCATCATTGCTGTTTCTGTCTCTCCCTCTCCTTTCCTATCTAAAATCAATAAAAAAAAATATTTAAAAAATAGTAAAGCTTATTTAGAGATCGCTCTAAGAAATGGTAAATTTGTAGTTGAGAAAGTTTAATCGAACATAAGAGACAAGAATCCCAGAGCCAAAAACCCCAAAAGTTCTTGTTTGGCCACGATTACCAGCGTGCATCAAGCCCACGTAAGCATAGGAGACACCTGTAGAGCAGAGGCGTGATGCACGTTCTTTGCTTTATTAAACTCCTGAGCTGTCTGCTATTGTTGCTCTTCCCTTTCTCTAAGACAGTGATTTTTGGAAGGTAGAGAAATGTGACTTCTGACTTAGTCCATCGGGTATTTCACAAATGTGTCTTTGCTATTTTGAAATTCGTGGGAGTTCATTGATTATAAAACCTTGCTGATTGGAATCAGTGTTTATTTTGAAATGTTTTCAACATTCTAACTCTCCTGTAGCCTGGTTTCCTGAATACCGGCGTACACAAGCTGTCAGGAGATTACAGTTACAAGCAAAGGGAGTCTTTCCTCCAGCCACAACATTCCTGGGAACTCTGGCTTCTACAGAAAAACATTTCCTTCCAGCATAGCTGTTTTTGCTCTCCCTCCTGGTGTGCATGCGGGCTGCGTAAAGGAGGGCCCTTGACCTCAGATACGGCTTGTAACATTCTTCATATTTGGACTGGTTTTTATCCCAGCAATCTCCTTCCTATTCTGCCTTCTTTCTTTCAGCCTGCACATGTGCCAATGTCTTTAGAGCAGTTTCAAGTTTTTGAAATGGGAATAATTGACACTGAAGGAAGATTTAGAGAATGAAGCAGCTGGTGTATCCTAGAAAAATAACCTTGTGCTCTTGGGGGAAGACACTCATATCTTTTTTATGGCAAACCTTTATGATAAACCCTCCAGCACAGTGCGGGCAGGTGGTGCAAGGGACTTGGCTCATGCTTACAGCTTCCCATTAGTTGCTGCAGCAGAGAGGAATGCAAGCTGCTGCCTCTTTTTAAGAGTCCTCCCCTCCCCCACTTTTTTTTCCTTCCTTCTCTCTGCTCCTTAATCCTGACAAAGTGTATTTTGCTATTAAAAGAACTACATTATTAAAACACTGCAGAATCTGAAATGACACCAATAGGATTAATGTTATGTATGGTCTTGTTTCAATTAATAGTAGTGGTAGTTATATATGAACATAAACAACAGTAGTAATAATACAGAGGACCTAGTCTTTAAGAAAAGGTTTTTATTGATGAGAGAGAGAGAGAGAGAGAGAGAGAGAGAGAGAGAGAGAGAGAGAGAGAAACATCGATGAGAAACATAGATCAGCTTCCTCCTGCATATCCCCCCTACTGGGGATTGAGCCAGCAACCTGGGCATGTGCTCTGCCCAGGAATCCAGCCTGTGACCTCTTGGTGCATGGGACAACGCTCAATCCACTGAGTCACACAGGTCGGGCCAGAGGACCTCATCTTTATTGAATAGTTAATATGTTCAAGGCACCATGTCACCTAGCCCTCACAATAACCGTTATTATCCTAATTTTACACGTGAAGAAACTCAGGCTCAGAGAGATGAATTTGTAATCCAGGGTCACACAGCTAGAAAGTGGTGAATTTGAACCCATGTCTGACTCTAGAGCTGACATTCTTCGCCATAATCTGCAGTATTAACTCTCCATATTTATACTTTAATAGAGTCACAGGATATTGGTGCTCAAAAGAACCACTTACTAAGATGCCCCACCTTTTGAGGAAGCGTGAGGGAGGTGATGGATGCTTCGGTCGGTCCCCGGCGGAGGGAGGGAGCTAGCGCTTTGGTCCCCCCCCCCCCCCGCCCCGCACAAACCCCCCAACTTTGAGTCCCGCTGGAAATTGGGGGCCCTCCAGGCTTCAATTCCCCTCAGACGTCTCAGCCGTGCCCCGTGAGCCCCCCAGTCCCGGCCTAGGCCTCGGAGCAGCCAGACGCCCGCGGCCCAGCGCTGACCTCGGGCCCCGCCTCGCCCTGCCCGGTGTCCTCCCGGGTTCGAGGCCGGCTGCGGGAGGGAATGGGTTGGGATCGAGGAAATAGTCTCATTTTAATCCTGTCCCCGGAATCAAACGAATGAGGTCGATAGACCCGTTTTTTTAAAAAAGAAAAAAAGATGCCCCACCTTTTATTTTTTATTCCCTTCGAGTCTTGAGACCTTAGGGCTGGGAGCATGTATTTGGAAGTGATATGAATATCACTCTCTCCTGTTGGTAGAAAGGACATGGCATGTGAAGAAGAGGATGGGAAATCATTTTCCTGGGTGAGAAAGAGGAGCGGCTAACTCTTCCTACCAGGAAGTCCACTGCATTGAGAGGAGGAAAGACAGCGGTGTGAGGCCTGGCAGCAGCAACCAGCATAGCCAGCCCTCTTCCTGGCTTGGAGACCCCTGCTGAGTGCTAGTCTGGCGGTAAGGGAGCCCAGATCCAGGTAGACCTCTTCATTTTGGAGAGGTGGAAACTGGGCCATAGCGGCAAGGCCCCAGTAAGTTACTGCAGTAAAGGGAGTGGGTCAAAAGACTGCCCTTCATGAACGTAAGGTCTGTGCCTGTCGTGTCCACCCTTCTGTTTGCAGTGACCAACAATAAGTAGTAAGAGTGTAAATACATGTTTAATGAATTCATTTTCTTTCTTTTTTAATATATATTTTTTTACTGATTTCAGAAAGGAAGAGGGAGAGAGAGAGAGAAACATCAATGATGAGAGAGAATCATCGATTGGCTGCCTCCTGCATTCCCCTCACTGGGGATGGAGCCCGAAACCTGGGCATGTGCCCTTGGCCGGATTTGAACCAGGGACTCTTCAGTCCACAGGCTGACGCTCTATCCACTGAGCCAAACCGGCCAGGGCTAATGAACTCATTTTCGTTACTTAAGGTGGCTTGTACATGCTCTTGATTTTCGACCTCTGTGCCGGGTTTTTCACTGGCCCCACTGGCACTGGTGTGGGAGGTGAAAGGAGGAAAAATAAAGATTGCCATTTTGTCTTTTGAAAACTCCACCGACTCTGCCCTGAGATCTTGCTGGCCCTTGTTGGCAGTCTCAGCACCTGCAAACCATCAATTGCTAATGATGGCCCTGGTATGTAGGACTTGCCTTCTTATCTTGCACATGGTTCTGGTTTTGGAAATTAGAGAAGAAGCTTCAGCATTGCGGTATCTCAGGTCCTAAAGGCTAAAAGGCACATACAAATGGGAACCCCACAAAACAAAGCAAAATAAACTCTCCTGCCTTTAAGAAGCTTTGGATGAAGTTCACCTTGGAAGTGGTAAGAACTTGGTTCAAAATCTTCAGAGAAGGACAGCCACCTTTATAGCTGAGTGACTGATACTATTTCCAGGACCCCAAGCAATTGTAAAAGATTATCTCCCTTTTAGGTAAATCAAACGGAAATATTAGTGTCTGGGTCCATCAAAACGCCTTTAACTTGTCCTTCCATTTTGGGTTGCCTTTTTACAGGATCACATCACAGAGCCATTCAAGCTTGCAGAAAAGTCTGACAATGCAAAGTCCGATTGGTCCCCTGATGAGGCTGCTGAGGCACAAAGAAAAGCTCCTGCGAAGACGTTGTCTGGACGCTAAGGAATGAGTTACGTATGTCTTTTAACCTGCTCTTCCCATAGCACAGACCATAAGGAAGAATAAATGGCAAAAAGTCACCAAATTCTAGATTTGATAAAAACAAATGAAATCTTTTTAGAAGGTGTTAACGAAGGGTTCACAGCAAATCACCTAAACACTAGGTAAGCAGTTTTTCTCCATCTTAAGTAATTCAAAGTTTTGGTGCCACTTAGTGGTCAGAAGTGGAACTGAGCAGTGTTAAGGTTTGGCCAACGGGCAAGCCAGGCTCCAGAAATAACAATTGTCAGAGAGTCTCAGGAAAAACATATTCCTTCTGACCTGCAGAGCACCTTTTGGACTTTTCAGCTTATTTGCTCATTAAACAAAGCTCCTACTGAAATTGGCCTAATCGTGCCAAAAGATTGCCAAATCAGGTTTGGTAGCAGTGCTCTTGGGTTAAATGGTCTTTTAAAGCAAACACTTTTAAAAAATTGGCAGTTGAATGAAGAAAACAAATGAACGATACATTTCTTTGATCTCAGTTCACCCTAATGTGTGACAACATACTGACTATAGTAAATCCTAACTAGATTAGGAAAAGAGTTTGATAATTTTTAAAAGAAGAGCTAGGTGATTGGTGGGTTTTCTTTTCCTTTACAAAGTACCTTAGGAAAGTATTAGATTTAGTCCTAGTTTCCATAGTTAAAGAAGATTGCGGAATATTTCAAGGCTGACTACACCATTAGAGAATAGGAAAGCTTCAAGAATGCTTAAATAAATTGAAGGCTAGTTGTATTTGAAGACTTTGTCAGAGGACACAGAAAGATGACAAGGCAGGGATCGTTTAAGCCATGATCCCTGCCACCAGGAGCTCATAGTTCATTTTTAATAACAACTTCAAGTGAAGAAGAGTTTTTTTTATATATTTTATTGATTTTTTACAGAGAGGAAGGGAGAGAGATAGAGAGTCAGAAACATCGATGGGAGAGAAACATCGATCAGCCGCCTCCTGCACATCCTCCACCGGGGATGTGCCCGCAACCCAGGTACATGCCCTTGACCGGAATCGAACCCGGGACCCCCCAGTCCGCAGGCCGACGCTCCATCCACTGAGCCAAACCGGTTTCGGCGTGAAGAAGAGTTTTAATAAGAAAATTTCAACCCGTTGCTCTGAGCTCTGAGCTCAGTGCACAGACCCCAGGGGGAGTCGGCATGTCCCGAGAGCTTTTTATTAGGGACATGAGAATTTTCAGACTTTGTAAAATTTTTGGATGGATTCTACAGGGACAGCTGTTAAAAATGGAGAAATTCTCAGGTTACTAAGTGTGTTCGGCCTCAGACCCTGACTTACTACTACTGACCAAGGGAAGTCCTGGATGATATCTTTTAAGCCCTCTTTGTGTCTGTGACCTTGATTCTAAGCAGTTCTGTCTTGGCTTTATAGTTCAGTATTTCCCCAGGCACAATGTGTGTTAGTTAGGATGGTACAGCTGGGATTAAGCATCCTTCACTATCCATGAGCACAAGGTGGTCCTGCTAGAGAGGAAATGAAAAGAAAGAGTGTCCTGGTTATTTGGCTTATTAGACTCTTCCAAATTTAGGGGAAGGAGGTATTAGCCATTTACTTGTCATTCTGAACTCTCAGTTATCCCCAAAAGACATTGAGTGATAAGATTGGGCTGGAAAATAGAGATTCACGTTGTCCTTTTCCTAAGAATAACATGTTTTATTCATTATGTTCCAACAAAATATACATCTTAAGAATTGTATTTGACTTATAATCTAGAAAGGACACGTATTAGACAATATAAAATTAAAATATGCGTTTTTCTCAGAAAACTGGCATAAATAGTTAAATATTTAAAATAGGTGAAAGAGACAACTAGGAATGTACAATCCTTATAAAAGAGCAAGCCTCTCCTTCAAGAATGAGAGGCAGCCGGGCCGGCATGGCTCAGTGGTTGAGCGTTGACCTATGAACCAGGTCAGTTTGATTCCCGGTCAGGGCACTTGCCTGGGTTGCAGGCTCAATCCCCAGTGTGGGGCGTGCAGGAGGCAGCCAATTGCTGATTCTCTCTCATCATTGATGTTTCTATCTCTCTCTCCTGCCCTCTCTTAAATCAATAAAAAAATATATTTTTAAAAAAGAAAAGAGCCGAAACCGGTTTGGCTCAGTGGATAGAGCGTCGGCCTGCGGACTGAAAGGTCCCAGGTTCGATTCTGGTCTAGGGCATGTACCTGGGTTGCGGGCACATCCCCAGTAGGAGATGTGCAAGAGGCAGCTGATCGATGTTTCTCTCTCATCGATGTTTCTGACTCTCTATCTCTCTCCCTTCCTCTCTGTAAAAAATCAATAAAAATATATATAAAAAAAAAAGAATGAGAGGCAGTATGGAGTGCTGATTAAGAGCAAAAATTTGAAGCCTTTAAAGTTCCGTTTTCCTTTCAACTCTGCCACTTAGCATTTTGGCCTTGAGAAAATTATTTCACATCCCTATGCCTTTATTTCCTCATTTGTATGAAGTTCTTTGAAAGAGTGCATGGCACATGGTTTATGTTATTGCTCATTTAGCTCTAGATGGCTGCTATCAGCATGTGATTGATGCCTCTTGCTGCCCGATCATGGTTTAGGAAGCTGCGTGTAGCTCTTTCGACAACAGGCAACTTTCCCCCCAACATTTTATTTGGACAGTTTTCAAATGTACAGAAGAGCTTAAAGAACTGTAATGAGCCCACTTGGAGTGGCTCAGTCGGTTGGAGTGTCGTCCTGTGCATTGAAAGGTTGCTGCTTCGATTCTGGTGGTCAGGGCACATACCTAGGTTTCGGGTTCTATCCTTGGTCGGAGCACGTACCGAAGCCGATTGATTTTTTTTTTTCCTCTCTCTCTCTCCTTCCTCTTTCTAAGCATGTCCTCTGGTGAGAATTAAAAAACCAAAAGGAATTTACCCACCACCTAGATTACACACTTCTTAACCTTTTGCAATCTGTTTATACATTTTAACATATTTACTAACATTAGAGATACAGAAACAGGGGTCAATTCTTTCCTAGGCATAAGCCCTTTCCAACGATATTGGATTTAAAGGGTTTAAGGAGCAAATTTTCTCTTCATTGATTATTGTATCAAAATAGTATTTTCAGTGCTTCATTATCACAGAGGGAGGGTTTATTTAAAAGTCATGGAAACCTGCAGAGACTTTTCAGCTTATCTACATGAGTAGGCCCAGCAGTGGCCTGAACAGGACCCCCATTCCCACCTCCAGCACCTCCAGCCATGCATAGCTGGAAAGGGCATGGCTCTTTGCCAAGTCAGTAGCAGAACCGGCTCCTCTGGTTGATTCTTGGCCTTTCCTTGAATGGCTCCAAGGAAGCGGCCAAAATAGTCAGTAATTCTGCTTTATTAGTCTGGGAGGTTGACTAAACTCATCTGACAAAGATTGTGAACTTATCCATCCATTATTTCATTTTCTCACTGAATATTAATTAAATACCTACTTGAATGTCTTAGGCACTGTCCTAGGCAAGTTTCAGTAACAATGGAATATGATGAACCCTGTGGGGCAATGGGACAAAAATAGTTAAGCATATTTTCTAAACTTTGTTGGCATCTGTCCTAACTTCTGTGATTTGCCAAGTTTCTTCAACCACACACCACAATTTGGGTGAAAACAAGGCTTCTTTTGTAGACCCTGCCCTAGAGTCAGTAGAGGGAAAACACACTAGATTATAAAAATCTAGTCTTTTGCAAATAGGAAGCTGCAATTAAAAATCCTGATTGTCACCTATGACTTGAGCTTTACTGCGTCATTCCAGTCTCTTTTCAACTGCTGATCCTGCGATTCCTGTAAGCACGCCTCCCACTGAGGTTAATGGGAGTGTTATGTGAACGTAAGTTTTGTACTTAATCTTCTCCCCGCTGAGTGAGCCTTGCTTGTCTTGGACTGACTACCATCCCGATCCCCTTCCCCAACGTGAACACGCCTCTCCTTTCATGTAGCAGAGCCACGGGGCAGTGGTAGGCTCCAGGTGAGAGGAAAATACATTTGGAACAAAAAGTGTTCTGCCCTTATGCTTCTCCATTGCCGCATCTACATTGTCCAGAAGCCAGAGAGAATCAAATCAACAACGTCTGGGTACATGGTAAGCCAGACTGGTGTCTACTAACTTTGAAAACTAGGCCTAAAGCCACGAACCTTCTGGTCATTCTTGGAATGAAAAAGGAGGCAGGAGACAGAAAGCCGGGCTTCTTCCTAGACCGGGCTCTGCTGCTGAGCTGGTCACTTGCCCATAAGAAACTCATTCACACCGAGACCGGTTTGGCTCAGTGGATGGAGCGTCGGCCTGCGGACTGAAGGGTCCCAGGTTCGGTTCCGGTCAAGGGCATGTACCTTGGTTGTGGGCACATCCCCAGTGGGAGGTGTGCAGGAGGCGGCTGATCGATGTTTCTCTCTCATCGATGTTTCTAACTCTCTATCTCTCTCCCTTCCTCTCTGTAAAAAATCAATAAAATATATTTAAAAAAAAAAAAAGAAACTCATTCACCTACTTGAGGGTTCACGTTCCCTGTTGTAAAACGCGGGTGTTCTCTTCCAGGCTCAGAAGCAGATTGATGTGGTCTAGGTTCTGGAGAGGTTGCAGAGTTTTAAAAATTGTTTGGACTAGTTGCCCACATGTATAAATCAGAAGGCTTCTCATAAAATATGAATTGCTGGCTTCTCTTGAAAAACTGGAAATGCTGGCATCACTGACGCTGAATTTCTGCCACAGCTGTCACGGCCAGCGTGAGTAATGGCTTCCCCTTCCAGCAGGACATGTCCCTTTAGACAGTTTGTCCCCATCCCCACCCAGTCGACTTTTCTGACCTTCTGAGTTTGTGGCCCTGTTTTAGGATCAGAATTAGCACAGTTTAATCCAATTTACAAGTAAATTTTTTTATAGTTCAAATGATGGCAGGTCAATGGCTTACTCTATGATTCTGACATATATTTAATTCATTACAAGCAGAAGCCAAGAAGGGCACGTGGAGCTTTGCAGGGAATGCTCGCAGGAGGGAACCAAAGA